TTGAGTTCAATACCAGAGGTCAGTCTGTTAACGGCACTCCTGCTGTTTCAAATACTAATGAGTCCTTTGTAGGTGATCTTATGGTATCTAAACAAAACGTATCTGAAGAGCACACAACCTGTGAAGAGTCTGAAGTTTCCATTCCGAGATCCGAAAGGTTGCGGTCAAGACCACCATGGACTATAATATACGTACGAAACTTAATTCTCACAGATACATTGAATGGGGAGAGCTAAAGGTTCAGAAACATTGTGGTTGCCTGAGACCTGAACAAGTGGACAAGACTAGTGCATCTAAGACTCAGTGAGTTGATCGAAATGGATTGGACCCGGTATGCACGGACAGTGATGAACAATTGCTTCAGCTGTGTGCTGACCGCAGGCTGCTTTTATGCACTACTAACTTCCAAAATATCCGAATTCCCCTAGCCACATGTGGTCGTCCAACGGCGTGCCGGATGAGAACTCAGTTTGATCACATTGCCATCAGTTATCGGTGGCACGGATCAATAACCCATTGCCGTTCGTCTTGGAACACATTTCTGGATCCCGAACACTTTCTCGTCCGGAGTCGCTTCTCCTTTCGTCTTACAGGACCGTGTAAGCTGCGGGCAAGTGGTTTACTTACTGACAGACTGGCAGATCCGGAGGTTGAACGAATTTGCCAGAACAGTCTTCTGCAGTATCTTCCAATTCCTACACCATCAGACGTGAACATAATAGGTTCTTTGTACTCTCAAACCGTCGGGCGTGTGGAAGTATCGGACCTCTCCAAAAGCTTTCGTACACAAAGCAGCATCCGCCAAGGATGCACACTCTGTCCATTCTTATTTAACTTCTTGATCGATGAAACTACGAAACGGACGCTGGAAGGCCTTCAAAACCCCGGTGTTCAAATAGCCTGCGACGAAAACCTTGCCCACCTGGAATTTACAAACATTGTTCTCGTCTTCGAAAAGGAGAAGGCGCAGGCTTTTTTAGATGAACTAACAAAAATCATCTCGTCCTTTGGTGTGTAACTTGCACCCACAAAGTGTAAAGTCATTTTCATGGACATGCAGTCAATGAACACGTTACTTACAATCCAGGGAGGGGCACATGAGGTTGTTGAGCGTTCTTCGCATCTTGGAAGTTGTATTAGCCTGAATGTAGTGACATGAGGTCGATGTAAAGGGGCTAGGAGGCGTTTGCTAATTTGAGACACCTATGGCGTCAAAGCGGCACATTTGCTGTATAGCTGTGAGACTTTGTCTGCTCTAGCAATGGAACGAAGACGTCTTCAGGTACTGGACAACTGTTGTCTCAAAACCATAATTCATGTGGCTTAGTGTCGGCAATTGGACACTTCCATTGAAGAATGTGTCCACCACCAGAAGCTGCGTCGGTTAAGCCATTCATTGCGTGTGTCGAGCCATCGTCTGCAGAAGAGTGTTGTTCTTCGTACCCGACTCAGAGAGGCGGAAACAAAGAGGTGGCCAACACTTGGCTTGACAGAAGGGCATGAAAGGCATTACCAAGCATTCGGGTGCTTTCGGCGCCACTCCGATTTCAGGATGGGGACCACGTGATGCACGTTGCGCCTAGTTGGAGACGCTGCAAGGTGCGGTTGCCAGCAGATATCAATGGCGCACTTATAGTTTGTTATAAATTCACGGACTGATACACGTGTATCAATCCTGTACAAGATCGAGGCTTTTCCCTAGTTTCCCGGGTCGGTTTTGTTCTTGTCGGTCAGTGGCTGTCATTCATCTGAAAGGCACAAGTAAAGCACAAGTAACACCGCTCTTGATGTTCTCAGCGCGGAGCAGTATGCTTGCCAGCGCGAGGATTCGCATGAATAAATATCTAATAGTGCTTTGAACTTGGTTCTGGAAAGAGCATGAACAGCCGTCGGAGAAAGGTCATTCCACGCAGCTACTACCCGAAATGAGAAAACATTTTGCCCAATAAATGTGTGCGCTCTGAGCTTTAAAATCTTATCTCCATAAAGGTAATATCCTCAGCTTAGTTCGCGTCAAAACACCCATACGGTGCATCGTATTTAAAGTTCACACCGGGACAACGTTCTGGATGGGGCATTGGTAACCGGCGTTCGGCAAATACTAGATCCTGATTGGCTGTTTTTTCACAGGTTCACGGATTGATGCACAGGATCGAGGCTTTTGCCCAGGTTTCCCGGGTCGCTTTTTTCTTGTCGGTCAGTGGCTGTCGTTCAGCTGAAAGGCACAAGTGAAAAAAGGGTGTAGCACTGTTCTTTATGTTCTCAGCGCGGGGCAGTATGCTTGCCAGCGCGAGGATTCGCATGAATAAATGTCTATGCTCTAAACTGGGTTCTAGAAGGATCGTGGACAGCCGTCGGAGGAAGGTCATTCCAC